TGCTGCCTTATTATACTCACGCTGTGATCAGCGGCAGCTGGATGCAATAATCGCATGCCAATGTACATTGGCTCATTTAGTTTACACTCGAAGTGGATTGGTCTCTCTAGGCGAGATCCCAATTCATCAGTCATCCGACGTGACGTCTCCATTCCCTCCTTCAGGGAACGAGGGTTACCATACGTAACTGAGATGATTTCTTTTGCATATCTGACAGTGTAACATAAAGCAGAAGTATTTTGAATTAGTTAAACCTGTATCCTGTCTTCTGTGTAACATTGAGAATATCACTATATATTGTTGCAACACCGCCGCCACGACCAGTCTGACAAGAGGACTCAGGACACAGCCCTGTGGAGCTCCTACGTTCAGGGTGATGGAGTTGGAGGTGAACTGGCCTACTTTCACCACTTGAGGTCTACCAGTGAGGAAATCTAGAATCCAGTTGCAGAGTGAAGAATTCAGGCCGAGGTCCAAGAGTTTAGATGCTAGCTTGATGGGGACTATAGTATTGAAAGCTGAGCTATAGTAGATGAATAGCAGCCTTACATAGTTCCCATTGCTGCTGTCAATGTGCATGAGGGAAGAGTGCAGGACGTGAGAGATGGCATCTTCAGTAGATCTGTTGGGACGATAGGCAAACTGAAGTGGGTCTAAAGTATCAGGGATGGAGGAGCAAATGTTGTTCTTTATAAGTTTCTCAAAGACCTTCATGACTATTGACGTGAGGGCAACTGGACGATAGTCATTCAGGCAAGAGGGGTTATTGTTCTTAGGCACAGGGATGATGACAGATTTTTTAAAGGGGGTGGGGACCACCGAGATAGCAAGGGACTCATTAAAGATGGATGTAAACAAGCCAGCGAGCTGATCAGCACAGGACCTCAGAACACAGCCAGAAATACCATCAGGACCTGCTGCTTTCCTGACGTCCACTCGCTTTAGGGCCCTCCGAACCTCATCCTCCGACACGGTGATCACATGATTATCGCTGCTCTGTCTGCAGCTTCCTGACGCGCTGATCGGCAGAGTCGCGCTACCTCGATTGCATTCAAAGCGGCTGTAGAAAGAGTTTAACTCGTCAGCCAGCGACGGGTCTGCTCTCACAGCTGCAGAGGATTTATTTCCAAAGGCACAGATGGTCCTCAGTCCCTGCCACATGCGTCGAGAGTCATTGAGCTGAAAATGAGACTCTATTCGTTCCCTGTATCGGAGTTTGGCGGCTCTTACCGCCCGTCGGAGATCATAGCACGATGCTTTGTACTCACTCATGTTCCCCGACGACAGACCGGCGTTGTATGCGGCAGTGCGTTTGTTTACTGCAGCACGGATTGTTCTGTCCACCCACGGTTTCTGATTTGAGAAGGTCCTTAAAGTTTTTGTATCTGTTGCTTGTTCGGTTAGCGTGTTTACAAAGCTTAATGCTACATCCGTGAACTCGCTGACGTCAGATGAACTCGCTCTGAACATGTCCCAGTCGACGTCATCAAGAGCCGCCTGTAGCATAGCTTCTGAGTGGG